TCTTAAAATACATAGTTAGAGAAGGCTAACCCGAAAACCACTGTGTATATTCCATAAGACATCTATTCAATAATGTTGACCCCTTTCAAAACTGATTATGTGCATTGCATCAGCTTAAGTGCATATCACATAAATATCACATCCATATTGGCTGCAAGTGTTCTAGTTACAAAGACTTCCAGGTTTGGTACAGTCTACTATCCATCTGGTCTCACATTTGTACCCGATTCAGTTTTTCATACATTAGCAAATGTGTGCCAGATCAAAACAGGAAAGGTTGGGAATATTACAAATAATGATAAACACTTTTAGTGGGTAAAATGTGCATGAGAGGAGAGTGGAGGATGTCATCAGCACTGAATGTGAGTCAGCTTCGGAGATCCATGTGTGCGGGGAATCACTGAACAAACTAGGAGCATGTGTGAACAGGGGTCAAGTAAGGTGTGGGGATTTGAGTTGACAGGTTATGGAGGTGGCAGACATCAGAGCTTGGGGGAGGGGGGGGTGTATTTGTGGGAGGGGAGCTCCAGGCAGGGGAGGTATCATAAGAGCTGTCAGGGGTTCCCTGGGTGAGGGTTGTTAAGCTGCCAGCAGCGGTGTGTGTAAAGGTGGTAAGGAGGCGGCAGGGAGAACGGCATGAAGTGGAAAATAACGGGATGGCATTCTGGTGATTTCATCTAACTTTGAGGATGCAATCTGGCTGAGAAGTTTCCAGAGCTGTGTGGAGAGAAGGTGTCCTTTAGGGATATGATTTGGCTTGAAGGAATGGCATCCTTGCAGACTTTCTGTGCTAGGGAGGGATGTGGAGTTGTAGGGAGGGCTGGATTGGGCATTAGAGAGAAATAGATGGGGAGAGAAAGAGAAGCAGAATCCCCCAGTAACAAAACAAAACTCTGACTTAGGCATTATCCTCAATGGGAGGTGAAACTGTGTTGAGAAAACAAAACTCTGACTTAAAGTGACATTAAAGGCAAAAAATGTTCCCTCCCCCAATGTTAATGTCAGCACTTACCTTAAATGATGTCTCTTAATCCAATCTTCTTCTTTCCTGGTGTTTTCATCTGTCTCTCCAGCGGTGCAGCGGCTCTCCGATCCAGCGCTGACTTCTCTGTCCTTGCAGGCACTTCCGATCTAACGGTGTCTGCATGCGGGTGCACTCGTCCATAGACTTACCTTGTGGCTCCGATTGTCTCCCGGTTGAAAATCCGAACTGCACATGCGCCCGCCCCAAGATGCTTTGTGGCCGTTCGAGGACTTTCGTTTTCTCGGACGGGAGAGCGCAGCGAAGACGCGGTAAGTGTAAACTGCTGTTAAAGCGGGTTTTTTTTATTTTTGCCTATATCTACTGCTTGCTTTAAACCCTTTAACTTTTATATTAATAAAAAAGTAATATTATTTGTTAGGATTTCCTATCTATGTCCCATTAAAAGTGTTAATTAAGTTTCTTAAAGCAGCATACAAACATAATTTTGAATGTGTATAAATTATATGGCCAATTTTCCTTGGATTTTCAGAATTTGCAGTTTAAGATGGCCACAGTCATGTGAGCACTTGTAGTTGTGCAGGTACCTGCCAACTGCTCAGAGCCCTGTCTACTGGCTGGAGGTTCCATGAAAATGTTTTCATGGCTCGCCCAAGTAAGCATGTGCATGGAAGAAAACAATAGTTATTGAAAAAGGTTTTCAATCAATCTCATGAGATTGTAACCTGATTTGGCCAAAAACAGTTTAGAAAGTTGTACAGCTTCTAAACAGTGCAGAACATTGTACAGTGTTCATTCATTTCTGGATTAGGGAAAAGCTTGAGCAGCTAGAGTACTAACTTCTGCCCCAAGACTTCTATTCCCCTTAATAGGTTAAATGCTGGATGTCACCCAACACATAACCTTAACCTTGAAATAGATCATTTTTTTAGTTCCCTTATCCTTCACAACAATGCATTCAATCATAACGTCACATGTTTGAACAAGTGCCACGTTACAAAAATGTCAAGACCCCTGAACTGTCTGAAACCAATATCACAGTTTTCATGGATGACATAATTTCTTTGCAGTGAGTAGCTCTACCACAATCTAAGTTACATTTATACCAGACATTTGTGTTTAAGAACAGAGCACACATGAATAGCTAAATATTTAAGTGCATAAAGGATATACAGTATGCAAATAAAAGACGTATGTTTCACTGAAGCAAATGAAGCCAAAACGTAATCAATTGAGAAAGTCCATGTCAACAGGGGAGGCATCTGTTTCTGAAATCACCTAATCATGCAGATGACAGGGTTGTAAGTGTCAATTTTTCCTGCAAAACTAGGCATGACTAGAGAAACAGATGCTTAGGTAGCTGAAGTACGAGGCCCGCATTGACTGGATCCAGGGTGGCCTGCTAGACTAATTAAACATAGGATAGCATTCTTGTGTGATTGGGAAATGTTCATCATGTGACACATACTGACACCCTGGCGAAAATCAGACCCCAAGGCACTCATGAAAAGGCCACAACTTAAGAAAACAAAAAACAGTGTGGAATGTCTGTGAAAGGCCACTAGTGCTCCATAATTCTTTTACAGAAAATATTAATTCTAATGGTTTTATATAATTAAAAGCTGATGTGAAACATTGCTACATGAATTTTCACTACTCGTTGACAAAAGGTGAAACCTTTGACTGTTTTTTCCCAGGTTTTCCCAGTTCATAAGACCTTTCTCTGGTGTAATCCATTAAGGAGGAAAGCTAGCGGAAAGAACTTTCCTCAATGCAGTTATTTTTTTTTCTTTCACCTGTCTGTCCTTTCACCATCTTTTGCAATTCAACATTGCTACTTCTGACGTGAAACTTTTAAACAGTGAAGAAACCAAGAGAGTTTGTGATCAGGTCAAGAGAGGTACACCAATTGGTTTGCCAATCAGAACCCAGTCAGAACTTGCCTGAACCCAACTATACAGAATTATTTAGATTTATCACTCAAATACTTAGGGGCTGATTTATAAAGCTCCTGCCCAGTGCATAGCTGGGCAAATGCATTCTAATGAAAGTGGGAGCAGCAGGTTTGTGCGTCCCGGGAGCTTGCATTTTATACCTGCAGTTGGGTGCATTTTTCCCACACTCCAAAACATGCTGGTAGGTTAAATGAGAACTATGAGATGAGTGATTTCCACTCACCTCATAGTTCTAGCCGACCTGTGACAATGAGACTGTCACAGGTCGGCTCAGTAGATCGGGAGGTGAGCGAACATATACCGGCGTTCGCTCACCTCTCGATCCTGTCACGGCTCTCTGCCGTGACAGCCGAGGGGCTGGATTCCCCCCTCCCCGCTCCGATCCGCCAGCGCTGACGGGCGGAACGGACAGGGGAGGGGGCGGGTACAGCTGGCTCTGCCTCTAGATAGGCAGAGCCAGCTGTCACACACGCAGCTGGGCGGATCTCGACATAGATGTCGGGATCCGCTGCGGCGTCTCAGTATACCGTGAGCTGTAGCTCACGGTATACTGAGCTTAGGGTAACGGGAGGACGCTAGTTTGTGTCCTCCCGTTACCCTAAGGAGAACTATGGGGAAAAGCCCTGACCCCATAGTTCTCCTTTAACTGTCTCCTGTCTAAAAAAAACCTAGTGAGTGTGTATGGATGTGAGATGGGGACCTTAGATTGGAAGCTCCTTGGGGGTAGGGACTGATGTGAATGTACAGTATGTAAAGCACTGCTTAAATTGTCAGTACTATATAAATGCCTGTAGTAATATGCAAGACTAGCTTTGTCAAATTTTAAATAAAAAGTATAGAAAACTGCATTAAAAAGTACATCACACACAGATCGATTACATTTTAGTGTGTCCAGATTTCCCTGGCAGCATAACTACAGCTTAAAGCTAGAATCATAGCTCATCATCCCAGGGAGCTGCTCAATATTGCAGCAGTGTCCAGCAGGGGATTAGTATTAGTTTTTTTCTGAAACACACTGTAAAGCCCATTGCCGACTCTGCCATTGCCCACCGCTGACAATAAAGGCAGTACCTATGGAATGTATTCATATATACTCCTACATATTCTGTGATTGTGTGTATGACAATACCACCATGTTTGATAACCATTCCATCTAAATGTATTGCATAATTACTGCTCGTTAAAGTTGCTGATAAAGACGGATTTTAAACTTGTGCACAGTGGTCTAGTAGAAAACAGGCTTTACTGAAAGAAAATAAACCATAGGTAGCAAAATGTATCCTCTATATGTTGATAAAATACACTGGCTGCCCATAGAAGGCAAACTCTAGCTGTGCATTTACAAATCACATACTGCATTTTATTAATTTTAAATCACTGCAGATTAAAAAAAACAAAATAAAAAAAACAAGTGTAGGCAAATGAAACGGACCTCTCCACAGCCAAAATCCTCTTGGGAGCTTGCCATACTTGTGCACTGAGCCCTCAGACTAATTTCACATCTAAGCGTTGAGGTGCATTTTGGTAACGTGAGCTGGGTTATGCAGCCCAAATAAAATGAAAGTTGTTATTCAACCGTAACAACTATGTAACCTCAAAAGCTCAATAATCAGACAATCACCTTTTTTGGTAGCGCACTGCATATGCATTGCCAGAGTGTGTTGGGGGTGCCATTCATGATGAAAGGCACTGTATTGAACCATTGAAAGTAGAAAGCACTGCCATACATTAAGGAAATGTGTGTGTCCCCCTCAATGCAATAATGTGAACAGGGCCTTAATAGACTTTTATGGGACTATCCCAGGTACATCTCTATTCAAGTCTATAAGAGCTCACAGTGCAGACATGGCCAGCCGCAAAGTCTTCTGATGGATTAAAATTGAAAATATTGCATGCAGCTCTGATACAAAGTTAAGTTAGAGTATGCTGGTGGGTGTTAGTGCAAGGTAGTTCCTTAGGGGTTGGTTAAAGAGTTTTAATGTAAAAGTATAGGTGCCCTTTAACAGACACAAAGGCATACTAGCTACATTTGATTCAAGTTTTAATGTTAGAAAGCCAGATACCTGCTAATGCTGGTAAAGCTTTGTTCCATTCCCATGGCTGGTCGTACTCATCAGCAGGCCGGTCATCATCTTGTGGTAATTTGCTCTCTCGCATTCTCAGGCCAACCAAGCTTTCAGAATCTGACTCTACTCCATTGCACTCCGGCTCATATGGTGTGTCATAAAGCTGGATGTTTTTCTGAGGCAGCTTCTGGCTCTCCTGCTTTTGAATATCTAAGTAAAGAACAAAGAAAGAATGTTATGCTATTGGTTTCACACAAACAACATATAAGCTATCATAAACATTTTCCTTTAAATAAAAATTAAACAATAAACTTGATCAGTATGCATACCCATACATACATTATTTATTAATTTCTGCCAATAAAATCTCCAGCAAAAATACAGTGCTGGATTCTGTTTTTAAAGGCTGCTATGCTAATGCAATGGACGTAATAGACTTTAGGGATCCTTTATGAAAGACATATAGGCTGTTTGCTTTGCAAGGGAATTTTTCCTTAGCCTAGTGAATGTGGTGAAAAGAATATTCAATCACGTGGAAGGAAAATAATAATAAAAAAAACAAAAAACCGTATTTTTGCTTGCACATGATTGGATGATTAAAGTCAGCAGAACTTCACCTCATTCATTAAGCTAAGGGAAAATTCCCCTGTAAAGTGAAATTTCCGTTTCAATGTGAACAGCGTATTTTCCTTTAGTAAATCAACCCCTTTGAGTCACTGATCTGAAACAAATATGCATATTGGGAGTTCTTCAAGCTAACTTTACTGGCTGCTGGTTTGGCCCTGGACTGTGACTGAAAGTACAGAAGCCAAATGAGCAGCACGACAGCTAGGTAACTAGCACTTTCCAAAGAAGATCAGCAAATAAAGCTACTGTATTTCTCCCAAGACAGTTTAGTGGTAAGGACCCATTGACACTTGTGAATGGGGCCAATCGCATTTCCTCAAATTCCGCTGTGAGACTTATGCAGACGGGAGGCTCTGTATAATCCAATGACAGCTGTCCTTGAGACTCATGCGATTGCAGGTATAAAATGGGCTACACCACGCGGCTGCTGGTGTGCATGTGCCCGCCACATCGCTGGTGTGCATGTGCCCGCCACATCGCTGGTGTGCATGTGCCCGCCACATCGCTGGTGTGCTCAGTGTAGATGCTTTTTTTTTGGTTAGAACATAATGAAATGTCACAAGTGACATTTAATTAAGGTCTGTAGGCACACTGCAGTGCAATGCAGTTGTACTGCGTCGCACTAGGTGTGCTGAAAAAGAGTACTGCATGCCCCAACACGGTGGTGTGAACAAGCCGTGAGAGTGCATTATCAGTTTGAATCTGAAAAGGAGTAGACGGCCAGTTAAGACATGCTCAGTGCACAGTGCTTAGCTGGAGAAGAACGCTACCCAATGTGCGTTCAGGTGGATGGAATATTGTACGTGCGTTCAGATATATTAAATATTGAGTCTGGACAACTTTGGAGCTTACAACGCACTTCAGTGTTACAGGGGGTAGGAGAAAGTTTTCAAGCTACTAGAGTGTATTAGCCAGTCTACTCAACCCTTCAACAGTTCACTGACCATATAAATCCGATCTAAAAACATCATATGCAACACATCCCAAAAAAAGGAAATCCATTTTGCTCTTGAATGCAGAACATAGCTTTGACATGAATATCCAGTATATACATGCTATATGTCCTACACAAAGAGCAGTTATTAGTATTACTCTCGCAGGAAAACCATGTGGAACTAACACCATTACAGTCATTCCTAATTAGCTGTACTGCAGTGAACAAGCTCGAGAGACAGTAAAGCTTTATAACGAAGAATCTTGTGCCTGATGAAAAATAAATGGGTTAAGTGCTTGTTGCTTCAATCTTTAAACATGTATGGCATTCTATATACTGTAGTAGACTACTTCAATTTAAAGTTTATGACTTGTAATGCAAAATCAATTACTGCCACAAACTAACACAATTTTCAGATTTGTACAGGCATATAAAAACACACACACATGATGAGACTGTCAAAGGGTTGATTGGTGCAGTACAGAAAGGATGTCGCCGTTGTGACATCTGTATCGCTCCAGTTTTTTCCTCCATCTTACGATAGAGGAAATCATGAACTTACCAGACCCATGTTAGGTTTATGGGGAGTCGGATATAAGCGGACATGTGTGAGTTTACATCAGATTACCCCCGATCTGTCACGATCAGGTCCACCATAGTGGAACTCTGTTCCATTTTGTTTTTCTGACCTGGACAGAATCGGGGGTAATCGGATGTAAACGGATTCATGTCCTTTAGAGCCAGCTGTCCATAGACTAACATTAGGCTTCCGATGACAGGTGCACCTGACCGGACCACACGTGTTACAGGAGCCTTAGAACGGTTTTGAATATTGTCCCTGTTGAGATTTCTCCTCACTTCCCGTTATCTGACACCCCACGAGTAGACGAAAGGAGAAGAAAATCTGCTTAATAGGGCACAGAAAGAGATAAAATCCACTACTACAAAATATGTTTTATTGCTGTTAACCTCCCTGGCGGTATGATTATTCAGGATTTTAGGTACCAAAAGAAAAACTCAGGAGCTAAATCTTAAAAATACATTCCAGTACTTTATTAACAAAAATTTACCTTTTTTGTCTATCACTCAGCTGTAGATCCTCAAATCATCTCTTAATTGGTGACCTTACTTCTGGAGGGTGGCTACTTTTGTCCCCCATGGTCCCTGTGTGTGTGGCAAAGTAGCTACAGCTCCAAGCTCACTCCTGAGATGGACTACAATCTCATGTTTAGTTTACTAATTTGTACTGAAATTGTAGTCTATCACGGGAGTGAGGTTGGAACAGTGGCTACTTTACAACACACACAGGGACCATGGAGAACAAAAGTAGCCACCCTCCAGAAGGAAAGACAGAGTCAGCACCAATGCAGAGATGATTTGAGGATCTACAGCTGAGTGATACACCAAAAAAGCTACATTTATGTTAATAGTTAAGGTACTTGAATGCATTTATAAGATTTACCCCTGAGTTTAGTGTCACTAATTACAAAGGAAGGGGAAAGTGTAATGATGATGTACAAAAAGTGCAGTAATGCAAAGCAACCAGATAAGTGAACTGAAATCTATGTCTGTCTACATTAATTCTGGTTGCTATGTATCAATACACATTGCTCTTTTCCTCTTTGTGACGGAGATGGTCTCGCGCAGTGTTTACATGGGTGTAGAAACCTACTACAGTGTTGGTTCCAACAGAGAAAACAAGGAGGGAAGCGCTACAAACTAAG